AAGACTGGCATGGCCCAATTTGATCAGTCTCTCCTCTGAGATAGTTCTTTCCATGTCAATTTACAGATGCAGGAATATAACACAGACAATGTGTACACACACACACAAGGTAAACACAGAAACCTTGTCAAACACTCGCATTACAAGTGTTAAAAACATATCACACTACAAACTACTTCTTGTGAGAGTTTACATCTGCACAGACCCAGGCACAAACACACACAAACTAACCGTGAGAAAGGTAAAATAGTGATCTGACAAACGGATTAAACCCTTTTGGGGCTTGAAAACCTTAGCTGGTGGTGTTTCCTCGATGCCACCCAGAGCAGGGCCGGGGAGACAGAAGCGGAGGTTGTTAGAGTTGCTCTGCTGCCATAGCAGGACCCCCCACAGGGAAATCACAGGTCCAGTGAACCAGAGAACTTTCTCTGCTTTGCTCTGCTCCAGTCCACACTGCCTCCTATACCCCCAGCCAGCTCAGCAGGTTCATTAGTCTGACAAGGGTACCCACAAAACCAGTCAGCCCACATCTCTCAGTACATACAGTCACACAGTACAAAGCTACAGTCTTCACCTCTCAACTCTATGTGACTGAAAAGTCCTCTCACATGTTAGCGGTGCCAAGAAACATGTCTTCCACACAAGTCTAAGGAACATATACTTAACACGTATGATTTGGGCTGGCCCCTCACCCACTGAGTCAGTACATAAAGCGGAAGGATAGCAGTGGTAGGGCAACAAGGGCAGCTACCAGAGGGGACTGTCCTGTACACATATACTGTCAATGGTTGTACAATACAGGTGTTTGCTACACAAACTAACACTGCTGGGCTAACAGTGTTCTCAGTTAGAGTAACCCACTACTGGAATATAGTCTACCCACTGAACTAAGAGAGTGCAGTAATTACCTAACCTTAGGACAAACCAAACTTGCAACCATTAGTAATCTTACCACCTTATCTTTGCCACTGCCTTTACATAACTGTTTTTATATACCTGTCACTTTTTTATTGTACTTATGTATTATATTGTATTGTATTGTTCTTGTAGTACTTGTTAAAGTACTGTACTGATATTGTGCACTAATTTGTTATAACCTGCCCAGGGACTACAAATGAAAATGAGCTTATTAGGTAACTCCAGCATATTAACATTGAAGTTTATTGAAATAAATAAATAAATCAGATTATCGTTTTGAAATACAGCATTATTAGTAGAGCTAAAGAAGTAATCTAAATCGCAGTTTGAAAGGTTGCAATTTTTTAAATGGCAAGATATGGCATATTTATAATTTACATTAAGCAGTGCCTTAACAAGCTGTTGCCAGTGAAAGTTTAAGCTGGCAGATGTTGATTTCATCTGCTATAATGTCAAATGCAAATTTACTCAGTTATAGTGAATTAACATTAATTCTTTGAGTTGGCACAACAACACAACAGAAATCTTGGATGTTGCCTGGTTAAGATGCTCACTCTTGGCATGCTGATGTTTGCGAAAAGTTGTCCAAATGTGGTTTTGAAGTAGAAACACAGGACTGTATAACTTTTGATGTTTGAAAAAGTACCCAACAAATGTAAATTGTAATATTGGTCAGGAACAAAATCCTATTAATAATTTAATAGTTTTTATTGTAAGGTATGTAGAAAGATGTGTACATGAAGGATTATCAAACTTCTACATTCTGCCTGATGTGTCCCAGTTACCACATGTGGGAGACGAGGTGCATTAAAATGAGTTAGTGTAGATTGATAAATCCTGGCAGAGGAAGTTGTATGTGTGTGTGGACCATGGCTGTCATGCAAGCCTGGTATAATTTCTGAGCTGTGTTGCTGCAGAGTGTGTTTTGATAGATGTGGGCCTACAGTGTGTGCTGTCAAGCCAAACCATCCCCCTTTTTTCAGCTTTGTATTGGATTTGTTGGAGATACATAAACATCCTAGTTAATCGATTTGCTAACTTATTGATGTGATTTTGTGACTTTGATATGTTCTTTTTGTTGCCCTATGGTGCTAAAGTGAAGCTTTACCTATAAAAATCCAACAAATTGTCTGCAAAATATATACCTCTTTAGTGAATGTGTGTGTGTGTGTGTGTGTGTGTGTGTGTGTGTGTGTGTGTGTGTGTTCGTGCATTTTACTGTGTGAGCTGGCAAGGCGATGCTATGGTATTCTACTCATACACAAACAGTCCTTTCAGTGGTTTGGAAAGTTTGAAGTTCTCAGAGTGTTATTGATCAGCCAAGTGGGAAACCCACTGGGCATCACTGAATTCTCAGCTATACTTGTGTGTGTGTGTGGGGGGGGGGGTTAAGACATATATACTGTAAAGATATAGTGCGTGTTTCTGTATATGTGTGTGTGTGTACATATCACATGTATGATATTCAATTCAGACAAAAGACTAGTTGCTCACACTCTGAATGAATGAGAAGAATGATGCCATAGAAACAGCTATAGCAAACAGCCCTATAAGAAATCTGGCAAGCATTCCAAAAAATCAATATTGGTGTTTTTACAGCACAATATTACATCCCTTGTTTATTGTGTTTCTTGTGTGGAATTACATTTTTCCCAAGCAATCTTGGAGAAAAGAAGGGAGTGTATCAAGCAAGAACTTTAACAAAGTTTACACCATTTTCCTCACATGGTGAAAATGGCAGGCCGGGGCCTTGGTCTACATCAGCGTTCATTCCTTTTCAGCGCAAATACTTGTGAAGGTTTCACTGTTGTACACACTCGTTATACTCATGGTAGCCATTTTGTTTCTTTTAAATATCTAATAAAGTTAAAAGCATCTCTGATCATGTAGCCTTCAGTCTCTGTTGCCTATTAGCCAGCAAATTAGATTTAAAAGCTAATTTTAAGTTGCACTTGAAGCTCCGTTTTATTCTAACTGGCCTCCATCTGTTACAAAAGGGCACGGGGGACAGCTCACCTACAGCAACAAATCAAATATGCAGAGTTACCAGACAAATACTGGGCCATGTTTTGTAATATCAAAAGAACCTGAGACCACAAGAGATCTCTATTAACCGATCCCTACCCACTGGGTCTGAAATGACTGTGTCAATAGCACAAGGCTGGAGATAAAGGTCTGGTGTTACTGCTCAAGATTACAGAGAGAGACAGGCTGACACACACACAGAGGACGAGTATTTATGTGCGTCTGTAGCAAAATAACAAGTGCAGCAGAAGGAGACAGATAGATGTAGGGAGGAGAAGGACAGATAGCAACATTAGCCATCCCCATTTCCCACAACCTCTCATCTCATCCAACATTCCCCGATGCTGTCTGATCCGGAGTGCTGGGGTTAAGGGACGTGTTTTGCCTTTTCATCCTCTAGGCTTACCACTCAGCATATCAGAGCTTCATTTAGTCATTCATATTTATTTCTTGAAGGCCACAGAAATGAAGAAGAATCTATATTAATCACATCAGATATCCTTTTCCTTGCAAAAACCTATTTTTTTTTTCAGGGCAGTTTACTGATCCGAGACAGAGATTTGAGGTATTACAGGACACACACTCATCAAATTAAAACCCAGGGCAGAGATATTTGCTATTTGCGTGACCTTTCAGTGGATATAACAGAGGCAAAGCAGCTTGTCGGCAGCAGGCTAAATATTGGTCATATATCCTCTTAGTCATTGATCAGCTCCACCTCAGAAGTATTACATGAAAATCAGCCAACTGTGATATATGAAAAATTAACCACAGCCTTCTGTGAATCGGTACTAATGGAACTATATGTTATAAAACTCAAACAATGGGTCAGAGTGCCGCTATGTAAATGACTCACACTAAGCCATGAAGCACAAGACAGGAGGCTACATATTTTCTAGCACCTGTCAAGGATTGTAAATTAGAGTAAATATGCCACAAATTTCCTTCTATCTTATCTGAATGACACAACCCACATACACTGAAAAACTGAGAGCAAACAAATGTATTTTTAAGTAGTATTCCTGTAGAGAAAGTCGTGGTGAAAGAGCCAGTCTGAGAAAGCAAACTGTTCATTTTTTAAAAAGAGTGATTATACCATTTACATTCCCTGCTGCAGCTTTCTTTCCATAACAGGTGAATTCATTTGGACAGCAATCGCCAGTTATTAAAAAGTGCAGGGTCCCTGTGCAAAAATGCAGCAATGTATCATTCCTGATATCCTTCTAAGTCAAAACATTTTGCACCGGCTCTGAGGAACTTTCCCCATCAGCACCTTCACATTATTTTTCAGTGATCTGTCGCATAATAACTAAAATCTCATGGGTAAGTGGACACGAAAGGTAAATCATTCTGCGTGTTTCCAGAAGGCGCCAAGCTCTCTCAGTGCCCCGAAATCCGATTCCGTTGTGCCAAGGGGAGCCCTCTCCCTCATGGGCTGTCAATAACCCTCCACTGACCTTGTGAAAACACATTGACTATTCCCCAAAGTGAGCTTGTCTGGCTGCAACACAACGCACGTCCGCTCCTGTCTCAATTCATCCGAGCGGGAGACTGTTGGCCTGAAGAGCTCTGGAGTGTTAATGGCTATTGAAGAATGTATGTGTGCACTGTTTCAACACACAATTCGATTTCCAGACATCCAATTCGAAAGCAGCTCACATTTACATGGGAAGAAAAATCAGAGAATATTTGGTGAAGATTCAGCTGAGATGCGCAAACAACTGCCGGCCTCACACATTAATTTCCTGCTGTAATTTTACCATTATTCTCCCCAGTGCCTCTATTTGTATCCCAAGTAGTCAAACTAACACTTTGGAGCGTAGTGTCACGGTAAACAGAAGTAGCTATGGGGATTGTGTGATTTGCGGGTGGGTTTAGATATTATGACAGCAACAGAAGTGCCAGTGCCCGGGTAGTCGGGAAAAAGCTTATGTACTGTCTCTACAGTGCAGAGATTCGCCCAAGAGCCACATCACCAAACTCGGCGTGGTAACACTGCACCAAGCAGATGCACCACTCCTCACAAACCCATAGCGCAATAGGTTGTGTGAACATACCTGGTTTTTATGCCGAGTCCCATCTTCGAGTTCAGAAGAGCTGTTCATGATTCCCCATCGGTCATTTAGCATCCTACGAAGAATCTGCACATCAGATCCGCCTGTGTGTTCCAGGCGACAGAGAATAAAGCCGCTCTTTTTGAAGTCTTTACCTGTGATTTAGCTACTCCATTGAAAAATGGGCTATTTAACGTTAAAAAAGAAGGGAAACACAACTACTTCTGCGGCTCAGCAACCGCACACCGCACAAATTACGCACCAAAATTCCTCCCGAGAGTCTCCTGATTATCTGGCGGTTATTCCAATTAAAAATAATTGAAAAAAGTGTTTACAGGCTCCAGGGTTTGTAACTTGACTCACAGATGCAGCACAATTATACTGAATTTAACAAAAACAAAAAGATTATGCCCAAATGATCCCCAAAGCACCGGGCGCAGTCCTTTTACTCCATAAAAAGGAATCGACAGAAATCTTCTTTGGCTCAGATTGCAAAGTGCAACCTGACCATTCTGTCCATCCACTCCAGTTTCCAGGACACTTGGAGACGACAGGTTAGCCCAGACTATGTCCAGTTAAGGCTGAACAGGTAAAGACAGGATGGGATAGGGTCGCAGAGCTGCCGCGTTCCCTTTACTCGTTAATTCGGCGAGAAGATCCCGACACCGAGCCAAGGGGGATGGATAGAGCCTCCTTTATTCGCGCCAGGCTGCTGTTGCTGGTATTTCACAGAGATGCCTTTGACAAGACGGGTACGGGGAGATTAGCGAGCTCCGCTTGTGTGCCGCACGGGGCGCTCCGTGCCTCCGACTGTCAATCAACGCGTCCCTTCGCTACGCGCAGCGCGCTCAGCGTTCCCTCCCTGTGCCGCCCTGCCCTCGACTGCTGTGCCACAGCCACCCCGACGTGGACCCTCCTATTCCACTGCAACCCCAACAGCAAATTGTTGTAAATGTATCGTGTACACAGACTTTGTAATAGGAGAATGTAACATAATACCGGACCGGACTGCGGCTGCAATCCCCATGAAAATCTAATAAAAGTTGCAACAATTTTCAAGGCTCGTCATATAAGGGATACCTGACTTGGTTTAGTAATTATCTCTAAGTGTTAATGACTAGGTGTGACATCACCCAGCACTTCTAATTTAAGTGACAGCCTTTAGAAGTAGGTCTGCTTGTTTTTGAGTTTAAAGGAGAGGAACCTCACTATAGCAGGAAAAAAAGATGAAACAGAATATTAAACTGAAGCAACTGTCTCATTTATTTCACAGAAATCAGATTTAAACCACCAGAGTACTTCCCTACATTCACACAAGTTTATCTGAGGCCAGCCCTGAGATAATTGGACATGGTTTGTAAAATAGAAGGTCAGGACTTAATGTAGACGAAATGCTAGATACAGTAAACATATAGCTGAATCTATGCAAAGCAAGTATGACTCCATTTGACAATATTAGCAAAGGCTAAAAAAAACCAGAAGAATAATAATGAAAGAGAATTCCCCAGCTGTGATTTGGTTTTAGAGGTTTGTCTCAAAAAAGCATTTTCTTTTGGCCTTTCCCTCAATGTGTATTAAACCAGTAATTATGATTATCACAGAGAACTTGAATAACTCAGCTGGGTTAAGAGTCCTTAAGTTTGAACGTGTCATATAAATTAACCAGCAGGTTCTTACAGAAATCAATTCCCACAGGTTTCAGTGTACTCAGTTGCTGGTGACAGGCAGCACAGCAGCACACAAATACCTCCCCTCTCTTGTACACAAAGTCATTACTGTCAATAATGTGGCCCACACTAGTGGTCTGTTTTTGTTCGTTAAGGTATTTTGATAGACAGATGATTAGAGCTCTAATCATTGGTGCAGGGACCAAGCCAGGAGTGAGATCACTTATCCTTGTGATGAACCTGCATTCAAAAAAGGGGGAGGGGGGAAGGATGAAAAATGCTAAATAGGGTCACAGCTACACAATGTGCAGTGTCAGCAGTTCTGACATCCACCAGTGAATTGAGGGTATGTTGTTAAAGGTGGAATAGTTATGTAATGGATGACAACCCATATAGGAGCAAAAACTGTTGTTGTTTGTTTGTCTCTTTGTCAAATAAAGTTTAGTTTAATGGTCCAGTGTGTAACATTTAGTAGGATCTATTGGCAAAAATTTAATATATTCATAACATTTTTTAGTGTATAATCACATGAAAATAAGAATCATTATGTTTTCGTTATTAGAATAAGACTTTTATGTCTACAGCCACCGTGGGTCCTCCTTCCGTGGAGGCTGCCATGTTGAACTGCCATGTTTCTTTGGCTTTGGAAAGAAAATAAGTGCCTCTAGAATGCCCTCTAATGTGTGTTAATTTGGTCATTTTCCTTTTACATACATGTATGTTTGCTAATCATATTTAGACTGTATAATATATTACAAATAATTAAAGATATGTACACGCTTTTTAATGTGCATATATAGATGCACATATGATTGCATGGGAGTATGTGTGCATTAGCAGTAGGTAGTTTAGGTATGTGCAGTATGCGTGAGTATGTGGATGTATAGCCTACATGTAAGCTTTTAAATTCAGCATATAGGATTATATTTCTTAGTGTGTACATAGTATAATATGCATTTTTTCATTTTAATAGTCACGTTGTCCACATTCCTTCACTTGTTTTGTTGCTTTGCTTCCTTAATCTATGTTAATATGTTCATTTACTGATTTTAAGATCATATTCAGGAAGAAGTTCCCATGGTTCCCTGATGTGCCGTGGGATTTTGTGACTGCCATACATTATTACTGCAATATACAGCTATACAACAAGTTATGAATGAATTTTTAATTGAATATATCAGCACATTGTACACATATTTCATTATAAAATGCTGCTTTGAAGCAAATTTTCAAGCTATATACTTTAATTATTTTCTTAATGAATATTTCATGAGTGAGTTTATTTTCCATTAATACAAATAAATGTTTACTGAGTGATACGAATTAAAACATTTGTCATAGAGGCTATTTTTAGGGATTTGAATACAGGTGTGCCTTGGGATTTTGGTTGCCCTTTAGAGCGCCTTGAGCACAAAAAGTTTGAAAACCATTGTGCTAAACACATCTGAGTATGTCATATATCATATGTAAAAACAGACATATTGACTTGTGCTTACTGAAACAAAAGGCACTTAACACCAAATGTCTTTTTACACCCTGAGGTCGTGGTTCCTATTTGATGAAAAAAGAGAAATATGCAAACATTGCACATTTGCTGACAAACTGCAGGGTTATTCAATTTGGTCTATATCCTTCCGGGCTTTTGACAAATATTATATTAATATAGCGATTTCTTTCACAATGAATGAGCCATGACTTTAATATCAAGGGAGAAGGTATAATGGGGGACTGCAAAATATACAGCCGAGCAAACCATTGTAGGTAGAGTCTTGGTTACACCAGCTGGTGGTCAGGTCTTTGTCTGATAATGTGTGTGCTTGAAGTGTGTGTGCTCAGTTCTGGCCCCATCTTTGAATGTCACTGAAACCTGATCAGCCAGAGACATTCAGAGAAACAGGAGAAGTCTCTCAGGAAGAGCTGCTTATCTCTACAATTAGCCCAAACAATACAGCCCTTCATTGGCTTTGCTGTTTTACGTGTCCTGATATCCAAACAAGCATGTTTGTTTGTATTTTGTGTGACGCTTTGCTCAAGCTCTGCACTTGGTTTAGCGTTGTTGTTTGAGATTTTTTTCACCCCTTGGCTGTGTTGGTTTGAATTTTTACGCATGGAGTGGCAGCAGGACAAATGCACAGAACTGTGAAGAACCAACAGGGTGAACTGCCCTTCCCAAAATGCCAAGCCTATAATTTGCAAATCGACAGAGTTGCAAAAAAGAAAGAAAGAAAGAAAGGGAGAAAATGAGAAAAATGTGTGTGAAGGAAGAAAGGGTGGTAAAGAATATTAAGAACAGTACAGAATGGCATTGAGTTCATATGGGATAATACATTTTAAGAGAGGTTTACTAAACAAGTATGGGAGACGAACAGCCGTTTAAACTTCTAGTAAGAAACATATGCACATAGAAATACACACATTGCACAAGTAAATTCACTGTCCATCAGCACACATGCACAAACGTACATCCACACTCATAAGTGCACACTCAAACACACACCGAATAACGGTAAACGTAATCAAAGTGTCAGTCCCTATACTCTCATCAAAAGAATTCAGTGAAAAATCAATAGGGGACACAAACAGAGGCAGTGCAGGCTGAGGGAGAAGTCTCTGGTGTTATTAATGTATAATGATGGTCTTTCTCAAGAATCTCCAGAGGAGGGGCAAAGCGCTCGCACCTCTGAAGTGCAAAGTCAAAGGCAGTGTTGCATCTCTCCCTGGCTGCTCTGTTAATTCCCTAACTTAGCCCGAGGTTAGCCATAGGTGTGGGACATGATTGAGGTTACTGATACATAGGATTCTTTGCAGAGCTCTTCGCTCTGCCCTCTCCCTTTTTCAGTTAGAATATCAACCCTGTGGGGCAAAGCTATTTCATCAAACACTGCACACATACGCACACTTGCAAACACATATTCTTGAGAACTGAGGGCCCAGACAGTACACTGAGTCTAGTCGCAGATAGAGGTGACATTTGCTAATGGGGGGAAAAAAGACTGAGATTGAGATGCTGATGATCATGAGCTTGAAAATATGGTGACCAGCATACCCTCTTCTTTATTCTCTTCAATACTGTCTACAAGCTAGTATGATTATGTTCTTTATCTGTGATAGTTAACATTATTTATGGGATGTATCATATTCTGAGCTTTGCTGTTGTCATCTCTACTCGGCTTCCATCCTCTTCAATGAGTCAGGTGTTACTTTTTTACCTTTGCAACTTCGATCCATGTTTCCAATCCGGTAGCCGCTGTTGTATGACTCATATACGGCATGTTTTGTCATCTCTGTCTTGTTAGAGCTCTGTTTGCCTATTGGCTCACAGTCAGGATGTCTCTGTGAGCCGCCGAGGTGTGTTTGTTGAATGGTTTGTAATTATCCGCAGGCCTCCCTTGGGCAATGCTCCCGGGCACCTCTGCAAGTATATACTGCTCCACCCACCAATGAACCCTTTCTTTTGGAGCTAGGAGAGCAGCAGGAAGACTGGGGACACACGTATCATAAAAGGGAAGTGCAAGTAAAGTGTAAGAATCTTATTACAACATGCAATCAACCCACCCGTGCACTGTTTACCTGCAACCTCACCTTCCTCTGTAGCGACCCCTTTTTCACTTATTTCCTTTCCTTTAACTCGTTGTACTCCATGGCATCAAACAAGCTTACCTACCAATAATACACAAGTATGTGATCCTATTGCCCTCTCAAGGAACTTAAGGTCTTTAATGTTGTATTAAATGTAGGGCTGAACTCCCACGGTGGTTTTAAATCCAATCTGTACCTCTTTGGGGATTGGGAATTAAGTAGGCAGTAGGTAATCCAAAAATACTTGTTCTTGTAATGTCTTATAATTCCATTAAGACTCTTTACCCCCAACAGTGATATTCCTGTACCTATAGTATAGCCCAGCCCTTAATGTGCCTTATTTGAGTTCCATTAAATCACTCTGCAGTTCCAAACAGGCTGTTGTCGTCTTTGGTTGTGACTATAAACTACCAGACTTTATTAATATGGAAAACCTTGTAAATCACTCTAGTGATCTTATGTTCGCAAACGATCCGAATCTTTTCAACGGCTCTTTGCTTTGAATAAAGGGAACCGAGTCATACTTGGTGAGAACCAATCTTTTTATCGTTCACATGGTTTGTTACACAGAGTCAGCTGACAAGTCGGTAACTTGGTAACTGTTTGGAAAAGGACAGCCATTTTCAAAAAATACTTGAAT